ACCACAAAGTACTTTTTAATACAGCATAACACGAAAAGTGTATGAAATACAAAAAAACGGAGACCACTATTAGTGTTGGGCTTTACGTGCTCTACAAAATGGAAAAAAAGAACGGGTTGCTAGCATTAACGGTTCCCGAATTAGGGACAATTTTCAGTTTCGGTATTTTATGGCGGCTACTCCCGTGAAAATGCACCGATTGACCCCAAATTCACGGAGATGATAGATGACCCAAAGGGTAACACTTTACAATATAATTTGGGGTTAAGTCTGTGTAGTGTCTGAATAACAGTGCAAATAATATTTTTTTTCGTAAAAAAATTCATTTTTTTGAAAATTTTGGCCCGTTTGACCTTGAAATAAAGGTCAAAGGTCAAATCCAAGGGCATATTTGAAATCTACACATATGACTTTTGGAAAGCCATCTGTAGAAATTTTTCCCATAATTCCTTCTGTAGGGTAGATAATTGGCATTGAATTTTCAAAAATTTTGACAAGGGTGCATTTCAACGAGCGTCATGCCCAGGTCAATGCACCGACTGAGACAAAAAAACCTGGGGGTTCAAGTTGAGATTATATGTGACCTAAATCCAAGAGATGGGGACAGGGGTCCTTGCGGTGTAGGAGGAGAAGCGGTAACGGTGACTTGTATCCGGCGCCAGTACGCGGAGCCGGCGGAGCCGGCGGAGCCGGCGGAGCCGGACGAGACGGGTCGGGACTAAAACCATGAGTACCGCCAGCGTACACGCTGGTGGTACTAATAAACCAGCAAATGCAGTTTAACACTCACAACTTTGGCTCCTTTTGCCCTTCTGCACGTAATCTCAAGTCCTATAGAAAATATATATTTTCTTTAGCAAACAGACATTTAATTCTACTAAAAATAATTTTCAATCAATAAAGAAAATGAATATGACACTACTTAAAACCTGATAAACTAATTAAAACTGCCTTTTACTAACTTTTCATAAAATGCTGTGACAAGTAATAATTACAGGACCGTAGCCAGCAATTTCAAAATAGGGGGGTTCTTTTACTGAAAAAGTAGACCTTTTTCCAATAAAACTTCATGTACATGTACCTAGATCGAATTTTACCCAGAGTGGACCTTTTACAAGCAAAAGGGGTGGTTCTTTTGAACCCCCCGAGCCCCCCCCCCCTTCCGGCTACGGGCCTGAATAATAAAAAATTTTGATGTTAATCATGTGCACTTTATATGATGAAAATAAGGTAGAAATGTACATAACATTTTTCTGTAGAAGCAAGTTGAGTTTAAACCATGTGGCATGCTCAGAGAACAAAGCACTGAGGGTGAAACAAGCTTCTATCATTAAAATATACCTTAAAAATTGCATTAAAATGTAACATATTTTTACCTTGGTTTCTTGGTGTCGTTGCCAATACAATTTTCTTAAAGATAAACTTAGATGATCTGTTTTGAATTGTACAAATTTTCGATTTTTTCTCAAATGGGTGGAACTGCTTCTACTCCCAAAAATGCATATCTTTGACAATTGATTGATTATCTTTTGATGACCGTTTGCACTTAAAGTGGGTTAAGCACTCCAGCTCATGATCAGCTGCTGGACATGTGATGCCTGGACTTGATAGCCTCTGCTCGTAGCTAAGGGTAACAGACTAAATTAAATCATTCTACCATTATCAAAAATGTTACATTTTACGGGGTCGACGTTAGTTCCAAGACTCAGTTTTAAGGTCTACCGCGCACTTGCATTGCGCATGTGACGTTAATGTGAAGGTCGGATATAAATAGGTCATCGCTAATGATGCTATAATCCCCGCGAAATTGTGATCAATGGAGATGAAAAACATATACAGTCCGTAACTGCAGCAATTTCGACATTTGAAAGGGAAACATCTTCCAAATTTGTTATTCTCCAAAAGAGCAAGTCATTTGGAGAAGGTATACTAAGTACGTTGTATTTTTATTTTTATTTGTTTTTCGCATGGATAATTTGCGTAAGTTGTGTAAAGAACAGAAGGGGGCGTGTCCACCAAAGGCTGGTTTTTTAAATATGTACCCAGATGTTCATTGACATATATAAACATTGTTAAATGAGAAATGTCACTTCTTTGTTCAGATTGGAAGAATACGAATAAAAATGTAAAGAAGATTCACTGGCAGTCAGAGAGAGGTTTGAATGCTCCAGAAATTCCCTACGATGGTACTCCATATATTCACTTGGGGAGACTAGTTTTAGTATGCCACCTGGGAAAGGACTACGGAAAAAAAAAGAAAGAAGATTATAAAAAGAAAACAGAGAAGAAAATGGTAAATGTTTTCATTACTTACATAATAAGATGTAATATAAGCAAAGCAATGTAATAATAAGAAAATAATAATAAACTTTTTTTAAAAAAGGGTAAAACATGTTAAGTACACACACTTATCTTATACATAGCCCTCTGGGAGGTTGAAATGAAATGTTGTGAAATGAATAAATTATAAAATTAAAATGATAATGAGGTAAAAATGAAATGAGTTTGAATAACAAAAGTAATAAGAATAAAACCGAAGGTGTTATGTTATTAAAAATCTTAAAGCTACATGAATTAATAGTTGTGTACATAAATTTTACTTTGTTTTTTGAAAACAATATTTTAAAAGTATCCAAGTATTTGGGCTTTTTGATTTTTAGAATGTAGGCAGTTCCATATCTTAATCAAGGTCCATATTGGGCCATTAGTTAGTATGTCTTTATTTCTGCCAATTGCTAGAGATTTCTCTTATTAAATGATCGGCTGATTCTGCCTGTAGTGTCTATGGTTGTATTTCTCAGTATGTCTTTGATGTAATTAGGGTAGTCCATTTAAAAATTTAAAATCTAATGTGGCTTTTTTAAATTCTATCTGTTCATAAATTGTTTGTCATTTTAGTTTCTTGTATAGTTCAATTATTGCATATTTCTTGGCTTCTTTTTCTGGATTGGTGACTTAATTGTCTAAAATGTATTTAGTTCTTTTATTATTAAATGTCAGTTTAAGGGCTTTGATAACACATAGGGTAAAACATTTATATTTTTCAGAAAGAAGATCATGTATATATCAAAAAGAGAAAAATGTTTCAGTCTACTAAAAAACAAAATTGTAATGCTCAGATATACGTTTCACAGGTTGCGCGTTTTCCTGGATTTAAGGTTAGAGTTACATTTTTCACCTAATGATTGTATTTAGAATTCTCTTCAGCAATGAAGCTGTTCATTGCAACTTAAAATGTGAAAAAATTTCTATCATCTGTAAATGTTTATCTTATTTTGTTATAGTATTTGGCACTGGCTTGAGGCAAACTTCCTTTTTAAAAATCATACACCTTATTGTACCCATTTACATATATACACACACACATATTGTAAAAGGCTAACATCCTACACATATTTATCATTACATTTGATATTGCTTTCTTAGATAACACAAAACACCGCCTGGCACAGAGCAGAGACATTGAAACGCCTGAGGCACAGCCTTAGTGATGCTTCAGAAATTGAGGGTGTAGTCGAGTACTACATGCATTTCCCATCGGGCCATTGCAACCATCCCACCACAGGGCAGGTAAGCACATTATAATTGTAGGGTAGGTTCATCCATCTTAAAGGCCTGTGTTTTACAAAGTATAAGTGTTGTGTGCATATTAGGCTCTGTTCTCACAACTTTTAGATCGATCTATCACCGCGGGGAGTCTCACTAGATTACTGTCAGATAATCCCCCTTAAGTGTCCGTCCCCACCTATTACAAGCTTTAAGGGGTAATTAACTTTCGTGTCCGCCCGGCTAACAGCTATTTAGTGTGAACCCCCAGGGAGTTAGGTCAATCCAATGTAGGTCGATCTAATCTATGAGAATGGGGTGTTAGATACACGTCTGGTAAATAATTATGGCTCAGTTTTATCCATTCCTAGGTTGCATGCCTACGAGAGCCAGTGGATGCCGAGGTGGTCAACAAAATAAAATGTCTCACAAAAAGTGGAGTAAGAAGTGTTGCAGAAATGACAAGGCATATAAAAAGCTTTGTGAATACAGAAGCGGGTATCCTTAATGAGGATAAAAATAGACGGAGGTTTAACCCCACATCCCAGGATATAAGAAACATCATGGCTAAGGCTAAAATGGCTGATAGGAAGAGTGAGGTAATATGTTTTAAGAATGTTTTATCATCTTTTCTTCATGTACAGTTACTGTAGGAATGTTAGAATGTTATTATTATGTAATTTATTGTTTTGGGGGCAGTGTTCTTCAAAGACACTATACACTAATATTATAATATCTTAAATTTTAACCTGCTCTATTTATGTGTTTTTAAAGTCATTTTGATGAATATATGATGTTAAAAAAATCCATGGTAAAAGTTTTTCTTCTCAATGCATACATCATGAAATACCTTAGTTTACATGTGCATTTACATCTAAATTTATTGTCATTTTGCAGAATGATCAGGAAAACTTAAGAAGTATAATTGAAGAGTGGCAAAAGAGAGAGCCGGAGGATAAAATTTTCTACAGAGAGGCTCATTTTGTGGAAGAAGAAAGAAAAGGGTTTCTATTTATTTATCAGTCACAGTGGCAACAGAGGCTATTAAATAAATATGGGAATGACTTGTGTCTATTGGATGCCACGTACAGGACTGTAAAATATGCCATGCCACTTTTTTTCCTTTGTGTTAAAACAAATGTTAATTATTCAGTTGTTGCCATTTTCATGCCAGAGCATGAGGATGAAAAAAGTATCAGAGAAGCCCTCAGAATCCTCAAAAGTTGGAACCCAAGGTGGACCCCCAGAGATTTCTTAGCTGATTACTGCCTGGCGGAGATAAATGCCGTTGAAAAGACATTCGAAGGTAAACACTTTCCTTCAGTCATAAATACTACACAAAGATGCAGTATACAGCTAGGCAAGGTCAATTGAAAAAAATATTATAATGATTTTTTAATATCACATCAAAATATTCATTCATAGCCTTTGCAAATTTTCTTAAACTTTTAGGTCTAGTTGTCCGACTCTGCATGTTTCACAGAGAAAAAGCATGGAATGAGTGGCTAGCAAAGGCCAGCCATGGTGTAACAGGTGTGGTATTATATAACAATATTAAGACAAAATATATCTAATCCTTTAAATAACTTGGGTTTGTCTTTTCAGTAATGGTGCATAAAAAAAGCCTCTATAAACTTGTGCCCAATTATTACTTCTTTTAAAACTTANCGGCGGAGCCGGCGGAACGATCCGGACGAGACCGAAACCATGTATACCGCCAGCGCTAACGCTGGTGGTACAATAAATGCACCAAGAAAATGAAAAATATAAAAACACAACAATTTACCTCTAGTAGAGCTCCAGTAGTAACAAATGTTATTTTTGTATCCTTGGAGATCTCTCTCTTGTCCCCTGCACTGTACCCTACTGTGCAGCCAACATTTGGATCACCCTGTTCCTTGGATACACGTTCCGCTAGCGTCACAGCAGCCAGCTGTCTTGGCTCTGCGACAAGAATTCTTACTTTTTTCATTCTAATCAAAAAAGAAATAATATTTGTTGAATCACGCAATTTTGAAGAAAACATTAACAGCAGAAATATTTGATTCAACTGAAATGAGACACAAAATATTTTACTCTGTATCCTATGCCCCTATCTTCACATCTTTAAATCCAAGATCAACTCAAGACTTACATATAATACAGTACATACAGGAGCTGGTATGCCAGTGTTTTCATTGAGTTTGAGTGACTTGAAAAAGTTTTTTAAACTAAAATCTACCTTCTTTTCACACAGTCAGCCAGGATGTACTGGGGCACCTGTGTTGACTTCCCGGACCCCGTCTCTCCGGTGATGAATGTCACCACATTATCTTGGATTTGGCTCACTATCTGTTCCCGGTGACTTGTTATTGGAAGAGAGTCTTGTCTTGGTTGCTCTAAATAAAAATTCACACCCTCATCAGCTTCGTAGTCTCCAATACAGGTGCTGTCAGCGTCTAATTCTGTTGTGAGGCGTGACCCAGTGTGGTAGCCAGATTCTGAAGCTGAATACTCGCTCCCAATGTCTCCCTTCTCTACATTCCAAGCCCCAAGTTCTTGAGGAACATCTTCACCTGAGAGAAATAACAAACAGTGACCACATAATATTTATTTTTACATATTTACAGCAGCGAAGAGCTAGTGGTATGATATTTATTAAATATATTTATACACAAAGAAAGCAATCTTCCACATAGATAAACATATCATGCATGGAATACAACAATTCACCATAATTCATTCTCAAATTTTAAAATCTACACTGTTTACAAGTAGCTGTCACAATGATGTTGTGCTACTTAAGAAAGATTCTTTTAATAAATCAGTCAACAGCCAGATTAATCAAAGGAAAGGAGAAACAAACTAACCAAAATATACTTCTACTTTTTTTTATCTGACACAATTGATGAAAATAATAAACACTGAAAATACAAAATATCTGACCTGTCAATCTTAAAGTTTGTGAGCCGATGTTGATGGTCATCACCCCCAGTTCACGGAGGTCATCTTTGGGTAAATCCTGGATATTGTCTTCAATGTGACCCACATGATGAGGTTGTATGCCATAACATATGACAGCCCAATACCCAGGGCTGCCATAGTCCCACCATTTGATCAGAATGTCTTCTTTACGTAGAGTGAAAGCTGCCATCAGGGCTTGACGTATGCTGTATATAGTCTGCTCTGCACTGCCATATGGACCTTTACGTACTGTCATCTTCAAGTCTTCGTAAATCATTGCTATAATGTGTTGAAACAAAAGTAAAGGGATTTTAAACATAAATACTATGATCTTTAATCATAATTTATCATGACTTCATAACTTATTCATTAAACCTGTTGCTGATTTAAAAAAATACTTTAAATTTACTATGAGAGTGCCTGTGTGTTTGTTTGAGTGTGTGTGTGGGAGGTTGTTTACTAAATAGCTTAATCATAAATTAAAAAAAAAAATAATAAAAAAAATAAAAGCTCAACTATAGAGAGTATGACATTATACTATAGAGCAAGCAGAAAAGTATAAATGACAAAGGAGTATCTCTTATCTGATATCATATACATACATAAATTTTCAGGGTAAGATTTAAAAAATAGACACCTTTCAACTTTGTCTTTTCCTTTATGTATTTCCTACATTCATTGTAATCATCTTCATCCATTTCAACCCACAGATTAATGTCGCTGCGGCTCAGGCCCAAATCCTCAAGGGTCTTCATGCCGACAAAACTTTCCTCTACAGCAGCCTGTAGCTCACCGCGGCGATAACTTTGCCACAGCTGGTCCAATGAGTGCACTGATGGACAAACCAAGCGAAGGATAAAACACTGGCGCTTTGTATCATAAATCATTGCACGATAATCTTTCATGTATTCCATAGCTTTTCCAATATCTTCAAATTTTGTAACCAAGGACATTATAGCCTCATTCATTTTCATGAGGTGTACGTCTCTAGCTTCACACAGGGGGGTGGTAAGTTCTGAAAGAGGTACTTCAGCTGAGGTAGTTGGTTCATCAGAATTTTTTAAGTTCCCTTTCTCAGAAATGACCTTTCTTGCCTCATCCAGATGAGGTGATATACCAGTGATCTGGTCTGTGTCACTCCCATCACCTGTCACTGAGGGTAAGGCTTCCCTGTCTGGCTGAGTGTCCTCTGGACTTGGTGTCTTCTGACTACTGGAGGAGATGGCTGATGATTTGACTGCTTCCATTCCTGAAGGACTGATTTTCATATGGATATCAAGATCCACTGAGCCTGGAATTTGAAATTAAGACATTTTAGGCGCAAAGTAAATTATGACATACAAGTTGCAGAACTTTTTCCCTACTTCACAATATGAATGTATTCTTTTTGGCCAGTGGTGTGTGGAAGCATTCAACAGAAGTGTAACAAAGCAAGCTGCCTGGTGAAATCTTTCACCTGCAATATCTAAAGTTATATTTTGGACTGATACACTTCATTGGTTGTTTTATCATTATATGCAAAAATAAAGTTTAAAAATTCAAAATACTTTTAGTTTGAATTTATCGCAAGACACTACCCAGTGGGCAAAATATTAGACGCAGGTGATGGCTATATGTACAGACACATCTGTGTCTGTACATAAAAAGGGCATAGAAATGTCTTGCCAGTTGCAATATATGGTCTGTTCTTTACACATGACAGCATAATTGGCAGCATTCTATATTGTTCTTTATGAACAACGAGGTACATTGCCACTGAGAACACATCTACAATACACCAACCCAATTTTTTATATATCCTGTGAATTATACACTATCAATATAGTGCAGCAGGATGTCTTACCTGATGACAGGCATATACATATTACATTACCATTTCTTAAGACCCAAACTGTTACTACAGATACATACAGCATGTCACTCACCAAGTCAGGAGCAATATGGGCCACTTTGTCTTGGACAGCTGCATCCATACTGACCAGCACATCATGAGATGGACACTTGATTGGTTTGCTGTGCTGAATCAGCTGTGTAAGGTGCTCAGCCATGTAGCAATAGATAACACCCTCTTGACTCTGTTTCCTACAAAAAAAATAATAATAAAATGCAAGAAATGCTCAATACCTGAGGAGACAGACAGACAGACAGACAGACACACACACACACCTTCTTCGTAAAAGGACATTTATGTGACATATAGGCATACAAAATTTAAAAATAGCCAAGCAAATGAGTACAGATAAACGAAAGGAAATATTGATCCATATCAGACATTTTTTTTTTTTTTGCTTATTAAAAAAAAATGATACTGACTGCTGTCCAAGGGGCACATTCACTTCATCTGTGACCACAGCCTCTGGTTCTAGTGGTTTAGTTCCCATTGGCCGGGTCAGTCCAACCATTGACCATAAAAACTGTCCATGCTCTGTACTGGAGGCCTGCTGCTGAGCCTGGTCCATCACACATAATGGGCAAGGGACTATCCTCGTAACAAGGTAGGTGCCCTCAGATGTATGCACAAATCTCACACCTAAAAAAGATGTTTTAATTGGGAAATTAATAAACAATTACAAATTCAGAAAACTATTGGCATGTGCATTACTACAAATACATCATATGTAATGAGTTAAGACTACCCAGTTGCTCCACTCAGGTGAGAATAAGGCTTTAAAAAACATGTTTACTTATCATTTCTTCTGCTACATGTTCGTGTACTACATCCAAAAAAATAAAAAAATGTCCAGTGACACCATATTCATCAATGCTTACCTAGGTCAGGATACCAGTCTTCTAGCAGCATATCAATATGATCAACAATCTTTGACAGCATTTTGGCAGCAGCCTTAGGGTTGCATGGCAGATCATAGCTGTCACTTTCAGTTTTCACAACTATGACATCATTGGGAAGGAAAATTTCAAGAATGGACATGCTGGTCACATTCAGATCCTTCCACATGTTGTTTTCACTCTCCCATTTTAGAAAACACTTTCTGTAGTCACAAAGTGTGAATGGCTTTTCTGCATCAACTTCTTTAACACGCAGGAGAGTGGTGACAAGGTGGAGCTCCAGACCTGTTTGCCAACAACTCCATTCAGCATGCCCCTTCAAATTATTTACTGCTGGATCAGACCTCAACACATCTGGAATCTTGTACATGTCACATACAATGTTGTACAAAGATCTGTCTCCTAGCAACCTGGTGATAAGGCGTGGCCAAAATCCACTGGGAAAGTAGGTCATAAGATACAGCCTCCGCAGTGAACTTGTAGGGCTGGAAGTGTAAGTGAGAATGCTGGATGGTGTAAGCATCCCTGTGGAGCTTTTCCTTTCCATTACTGGCTCAGTCTCCTGTTGATCAGTCTTCTGCTCAAACTTTGGATTCATTTCTGCCCTGTTTTCATCACCAGAGGGTGCATAGAAGGTAGATTTCCCTGCATAGATCTCACGGGGCAGCACTGGGGGAACTAAGGATGAGCGTCTGTCTGTAGGCTTCTTGGTAGGTATGAGAGTTGACTTTCTGTTCTCTGTTATTGGAAGCCTCATAGGTATCTATAAACATGGCAGGGGTATATGTACATTAATATAACAAAAGTTTCACCTGTGCTTAAATTCAGATGCAAAATACACAAAGTTAACTTTGATAAGTTAATGAAAATCTGAACAGATAATCCTAAATAGCTAAACAAGGCAGCAAAGCTGTCAAATGTACAGACAAAAAGCAGGAAATAACTATGCACAAAATAGGCTACTGTCAATTCTGATGCAAAAGTACATTATGTTAAACTGCAAATTCAACATCAAATTTTAATTATGCTCAACAGGTAATACCAATGTAAGTAAAATGTGTAACAAGCATAAGGCTTCAGGCCCATGGGAGTTCAAGTTCACACTTTGAAAATGTATAACTTTCAGAAAAAGAAGCCAATTAGACTGCTTTTCCAACTCAGGCT